TGATTTACTCAGCCTTCCAATTTAAATGTTAATCTCATCCAAAACACCCTCACAGAAACATGCAGATAACACCAGGCTGAAGGGCCAAATAGAACCAACACTGATGTCTGCCACGCCTCTCCTCTTTACTTTCCTTGTATCATCATCTCAGCTGTTTTCTCATTAACCCAGAAAGGAAGTCTGAGGCCAGCCTGGGGGACTGGCAGTACCCTGCCCAAATAAGGAAGCATGACTTCAAAGACACACTGCAGGACAGCAGCCAAGCCAAGGGGCAGGGCTCTTCCCTAGGGTTGCATGCATCTCTTCCCAGAGTGGAAGCACAGGTCAAGACAATTGGCAGAGGCCAGTTTGTGGTGCAGTAATAAACAGTTGCCTGAGACTGCTGGCATTCATTTAGCCTCTAGGTCAAATTGATGGTGAGGCCAATAGCAGAATCAAAGTACTTTTCATCTATTTTTATCTTATTTTATCTATTTTTATCTATTTTTCATCTTTTTTATCTAAACTAATTAGTCTATTGGTTTATTCTAGCAAAGACAAATATAGAGCAAACCCTATGATATTTATATGGCTTTGCTTTTGCTTATTTAATATAGGGTTGCGGATACAGCTCCGTTGGTAGAGTGTTTGTCTTGCATGTAGAAGGCCCTGTGTTCAATCCCTAGCACCACCACCAAAAAGAAAAAAAAAAAAGATTAGTATAAATACTAATATATTTTTTAAAGTTATAAACAGGTTTATAACTTTAACAGTTATAAAATGTTATAAACAGTTATAAACTGTGTTTGCAGAGCTGGTCCAAGGTCAAGGGTCTATATCTACAATGGCCTTCATGCTGGCAGAGGTCGTGCAGGGCCTCCTGAGGCAAGAGACAATTTGTATGTGTATGTCTAATATGTTTCAGTATTTAAGTAAAACCTTAAGAATGAAACAGCATTAATAATTTATGTTGCAGAAAAATAACGGTTTGCTTCAGTGCCATCCCCCACTCTCTTGGCTTTTACACCAATTTTGAACACATGTCAGGAGATATATGTTGAGAGGAGAATTCAGGACTAAAGTCTACTAACAATAGGCACCTTACCACCCATACTCTTGGGGAGAAGGGTTGACCACCTTGAAGATGTTCATCCTAAGAGGGGCATCCAGGAGTCGTGCTGCATCAGACAGCCAGAGTGGCTGTTGGCTTGGCTGCCCATCCAATTTGTATCATCAGCATCCGGCACATTTCCTGGCCCAGAATCTGAGATCAATCAGTAGGACCAGGGGAATGAGTGAATGTATTTAACTATATTTATTCAGCAATTATTACTGTATATGTGCACTATTTTAATTACTTTACAAATGATTTAAAATTTAATTCTCATAATGACCTTATGTCAGGTACTATTAGGTTATGGCTTGAATTGAAGTGTTCCTCAAAAGCTTGTGGGTTGAAGGCTTGTTCCCCAGTGCAGCCATGTTTAGAGGTGGGGCCCTGGGAGGTGATTGGGTCATGAGGGCTCTGACCACAAAAGTGGGTTAATTCTTTGATGGATTTATGGTTTAATGCCCTATTCAGAGGCAATAGAAACTTCAGGAAGTGAAGATATGTTGGAGGAAGTAGGTCAGTGGTGGGTGCCTTTGAAGGGTCTAGTTGTCCTCAGACTCTTCTCTCTCTGCTTCCTGGCTGCCCTGAGGTGGGCAGCTTTGTCCTACCATGTGCTCCCCACCGTGATATTCTGCCTCATTACAGGCCTAAGAGCAATATAATCAGGGACCATGGACTAAAACCTCTGAAGGTATGAGCTAAAATAAATCTTTTCTCATTTAACTTGATTTCTCCCAGGTATTTTGTCACAGTAACAGAAATATAACTGACACTATTAACCTCATTTTACAAATAAGAAAATTGAGGCACAAGGCATTTCTATTACCTGCATAATATCACATAGCTCATCAGAAGCAGAGGCTGAATTTAGACCCAATCCATCTAACTCCACTATTTGTTCCCTTAAGAATTGCAAATGAATGAATGAGTGAATGAATGAATAACCTTGGATGCAGGTTGTGACTACCAAGTGAGCTGGAAGTTTTTAGGTATTTGTCTATCACCCTGGTAGCTATCTAGAAGTCACTAGACGGAAGCTTCCCTACACTAGAAAATAGTCTTGTCTTGATAGGACTGTGGTCTTAAGTGAGCAGCCATCAGATTACCAGTCTCGCGAGGGCCAGGCATTGGC